AGCGCCAGCCAGCGCGGAGCCAAGAAACCCGCACTGAGCGCCAAAAGGCTACGCTTACAGCGTGTTGTCTTCTTCGAGAGGAGGGGGCGGAGGCCGAAGACGAGGGCTTGGGGGGCGGAAAGATACGGATACGTGTTGTCCCTGGACCTCTCTTGGGGTGCGTTCTGACCAGAATTTCGAGGCGAATCCAGCGGTGACAACGAGGATTCCCCAGGAGGACCAGGAAAGGCCGAAAACGAAGGGGGACAACACGTATCCGTATCTTTTTCTCCCCCGAAGGGCGGCGGCGGCGCCGTCCGCGGTGCGGGCGGCGTCGATGCGGCCAGGGAGGGCAGGGCGCTACCGACGCAGGGGCACCGCCGCTCTGCGGGCCTCCTCCGGGGCGCGCTGCGACGGTCGGGCACAGCCTGGCATCGGGTTGGGCGTGTCCTCCTGCAGGGGATGCTGGAGGAAAAAGTTGGAAGCACCTGAACAGATTCAGAGATAGCCAGGACTACGCAAGAATAGTACAAACAATGGACCCCACACGATGCTTTAAAGACCATTTTGAAGATTCCTCCTGTAGAAGGAAAAGCCCTGCTTGAAGCCCTGGCATGGAACACGGGCCCGTGGATCTGGCGAATCCGGGGGGGCGCCTGCCATCGCGCTTCGCGCTTGCGCGAGGCGCGAAGTGGATTCCGCGCCGCTTCCCAAGGGAGAAGAGGAGGACGAGGACGAGTTGGAGCCGAAGCGCGAAGCGCGAAGCGCAGAGCGCGAATAGCTCAGAGCCCTCGAGGGCGCCACTGCGAAGCGGCGCCAGATCCGCCGACCCGGGGAGAGCACCCCTCCGAGAACCGGAGCCACTGCAGTCCGATCTGGCGACTGGGAGCGCCGACGCAGCATGGTGGCAGGACCAGTCGTTCATCCACACGCCCCAGCCCATGTTTTGGTGGCAGCGCTAGGGGGATACCATCTCAGGAGGGGGAGCACCGACCTGGAATCGGCGATGCATCGCCTGCAGATCGGCGATCCACGATCGCGGAAGGGGGGGTCGAGGGTCTGGGAAGCTTCGGGGATCGGGGAAGGGGATGAGAGCTCGGGGAGGAGGGCCGAGAATCGGGGGAGATCCGTGATCGGGGGGGGGGTCAAAGAAGACGGGTAGGGATCGAGGAGGATCGAGGACTGAGGCCCCCGCATTCTCGATCCTCCCCGATCCGCGATCCTCCCTCCGGCCCTCGAGGGATTGCCGCGCAACACCGCCGCCGTCGCATTGCCGCCGACCCGTCGGCATACCGCGAAGGAAGCGGGCCCTGAGGTCGGGGGCGTCCAGGAGTGCCAGGGCGTCCAGGAGTGGGGCGTCCAGGAGCGGGGCCGGCGAATCATGACCCGAGGCAAGTGCGCGGCCCGGGGGGGGGATGAGGTCAAAGGAAGCACTGGACGAAAAGAGGGGGGGCACGAAACCCAGGGAAGTGCCGTGGCCTGGGCCACGAGATCGGGTCAATCTAGACCCAGGTCGGTAAGGCTTTGCAAAATCCTGGAAGGTCCTGCACCCAAACCCGGGTCAACGCGAAGGATCCTGCAAAATCCTGCAAGACCCTGCACCCAAACCCGGGTCAATGCGACCCTGGCCCTGCAGGATCCTGCAAGATCTGGCGCTCTGGCTGACCCCCCTTTGCATTGACCCCGAAAAAGTGTATAATCACTAGTTTAAAAAAGGTTTAGTCTGGATTAAACCTGGTTGAACTTGTACCTGCAGTGCTTCACCATTGGAAAGGGTTTACTCCAGATTAAACCTCTCTACATCTGAAGCACCCCTCTGGCGACCATGTCGCCTCTTCTCTATCTCCGCGGCGCATGCTCGTTTCACTTCCAGGGCCCCGTGCTCGAAACATTCTCGCCCAGGGGCTGGCCATTTACGGAGGCGCAGTCGCCCCT